TTTGTCATTATGGTCACAAATTATAATTACAATTGTAATTGACCCCAGGTCTGAAAAGATCACATTACAGTAGTTCTTTAAAACTATGGTGATTATCACTATGTAGCCATTTTTACATCCTAATATTCATTCCAAAATTAATCTACAAATATAAATAGCCAGCCATTAGAAGGACAAAACCCTGTCCACTCCTTGTACAAATACATTGTACTTCTTTTTTACACTGGATGATTCTTAATTACACTGGATCAATCACTTTTGAAGTTTTTTTGCACACGTCAAGAAAAATTTTATTAACAATACTCAAAATCTCTAAAAGTAGGAAATCTCTAAAAGTAAAGTAGGACCATTATGTAGGAAGGAAATAGTGCATTTGAACACTATTTTTGAAATGATGGCGGTAAAATCATGGTGGTATCAAAAGTAAACTTAATCATGGTGGTATCAAAAGTAAACTTAATCATGGTGGTATCAAAAGTCAGACACTCCTTAAAACATTACCTATTAGGCAGGAGATTGCCCAAATAGGCACAACAGAAGTAACTAGTTTTGAGTCAAAATGCATGCAATTTCTGCTTAATTAATGTACTTTAAATGTATTTTAAATAGGTACTCACTAAAAATTATTGAAGAAGAACTTACATGCACAACAGGCAATGGTACATCGACTCTAGAAACAGAGACACAGGAATCACAATCTTTTAATTTCTTTTCTCTTCTCTAACAAAGGAAAGAAATAATAAAATAGCAAAGATAAGTTTCTCAACAACAGCAACACTCTTGGCTAAAAATAAACCATTACAGATTGCACTAGAGACCTTTGCATAACAAACAGGGTGCTTATATAAGATATCATTAAATAAAAGAAATCCATGATTATAGAGGGTAAAAAATAGTGCTATTTATTTCCTACATAATGGTGTGACTAGGCACATTATACACATTATACAATTTGACCTATCTATATAGGCAGAAATTAGTGCCAAGCACTATTTTGTCCCCAAAATACTATA